AAATAATGCACTTTGGTGATTATTTATACCTAAAATGGAAAAAATTAAATATCGTTCAGTAATAAAATTCCTCCATTTAAAATTGGAAATGGGTTCTGTTTGCTGCAAGCTTGTACCATCGTTAACAACAATAAAATATTGGAAAGCTGAATGTGGTCGTATGAGTGTTCTTGATGAAGAGCTTCTGGGTCGTCCAAAAGAGGTCACATCTGAAAAAAACATTGAAAATATGCACGATATTGTGTTGGTTCATCCAAAAATTTAATTGCACGAGATAGCAGAGATGGCAAACATATCATATGAACGTGTATCGAATATTTTACATGAATAGTTGGGTATGAAAAAGGTTTCGGCAAGATGGGTATGAGTGCCGTGTTTGCTTACAATTCACCAAAACCGATGACTTCTTCATTCAAAACATTTTTTTGAAATGTTTGTGCACAATCCAGCTGACTGTGAGGGTTAAGTAGTGACAATTGATGAAACTTGGATCCATTACCTCACACCTGAGGAAAAGCAACAAGCCAGAGAATGGGTAAAGCCCCGGGGTAGTATTTCAAAAGACCACGAACTCAAAAATCGGTTGGAAAAGTTCTGGCTTCCGTATTTTGATATTCAAGTTTAATAATTTTCATAGAGTATTTGGAAAAAAGAAAAATTATAACATCAGACTATAATTGCTTATATTGGATCGATTGATTTAGGAAATCAAGAAAAAAAGACCACTTTTGTCGAGGAAAATAATGTTGTTTTTACAGGATAACACACTCGCTTATATGTCAGTAAAAACCATGGCAATATTAAATAAATTACGATACGAATTGCTTTCTTACCCACCGTAATCTCCAGATTTGAGTTCCAGTGACTATTACCTGTTTACAAACTTGAAAAGACGGCTCCAGAGAAAGAGATTTGCATCAAATGATGAAGTGAAATGAAAAACTGAGGTATATTTTGGAGGACTTGATAAATCGTATTATTTAAAAGGTATTGAAATGTTGAAAGATCCTTGGACTTGGTGTGTCGAGGTGGAAGGGGACTATATTGAAGCATAAAATATAATTTTCAAAAAAAAATGGGTTTTTATTACTTACACCGTTTATTTATCAATCCACCAAGTATACCTGACCTACTTTTTTTTTTTTTTTTTGTGGTGAGGAGGTGGAATGCTTTATGCACCGTCAAACCGACCGTCGTCGGAATGATGTGCCCGACTCCCTAACATTAATATGTAGTATACGGACTAAAACACCCCCTCTTCAGCGAGGCTTATTCCCCCTCGGAACCGCTTTCGCATTACTTCGAGGAGGGTCTCTTTTATGTTGGCATTTCAAGCCATGCTCTCTTGATTTTTGATCTGCGTCCAGACCATCACTTTTCACCGCATTTTCTTGGTGTCCATTCTATTTATTATATTTCTAGATCTAATTTCTTCGTTTTGAGAACTTGAATCACATATGAGTCTATCGTTCGCCAACTCTCTGAGTTCGCTTTTATCTTCTAGTTAATTATAATTTTAATTAGTATTGTCCCTATTATAATACAAAGTCGTGTTATCGTTTTTTTATTTTCTGTTCCTCTTTTCTTCTTATCATTTATCTTCCCGTCATTGCTCACTTACAAAGTTGATGGTATTTTATTTTTAAATATACAGGTAAAAAAGTAGAGGCTTACAGAGTTCACGTTCAAAAAGAGTAGAGTTGTTAGTGATCTTATATATAATTACTTACTTCTTTATGTTACTTCATTCATAATTCTAATTTGTTTTGTTTGATGATTTTGTGATTATTAAAACTTCCAGATTTAAAAATGGTTATTATACTCATTTTTACTTTCAGAACTCCCACACTAATAATGATGATGACATATTTGATAATTACGTAAATAATGACATTTTAAAACGTTTTTCAAGTCTAAGTATAAGCCGAATGCGTAGCAATGCATTAGGTGAGATTTTTAAAGAGAACTTTAGATGAAAACCCGGATTTCTTTTCTAATGTTACAGGATACGGATGTTGAATTTGATGAGTTTGGAGTGATAACGGACGCAACAAAATTTCGACAGATCAAAAAAGAAAAGAAAAATCTTAAAAGAGCGGAGGAAAAACGTAGACGTAAACTTAAAAAGAAAAAGAAGAAAAGTAAGAAGGAGAAAAGGAAACGTAAAAGACACAATGAAGATAAAAATGATAGCAATACCGACAGTGACAATGAGCGAAAAATTAAAAATAGTAAAAAAAGTGATTGCGAAGAGGGAGAATTATCTTCATCAACCACTAGTAGTAGCAGCAGTAGCAAAACGACTAATAGTAATGACTCCACTCCACAGCGACAGGATAAGTTCGAATCAAATCAACTAGAGAAGGATGAGGTACAACAGTTTAAAAGAGGAAGTCATTTTCAAGGTGCGTCTGTAACATTAGTAAAAGAAATTCGAATTTTTATGAATTATTTTATAATTATTGGTTAATATTAATTTTTTGTAATTTATTTCAGATATTGCAAAAAAATATCCACCATCATTACGTTTAATTGTAAAGGAAACTAATGTGAAGGATTTAAAAATTGGCAGTTTGTATGTGGTAACGTATAAAGGTGGTGGTCTAGGACGCGAGGGCAATCATGATATTATTATACCAGATGTTAATGTCTCAAAAGTATGTCATGTGTTCAATGTGTATTATGCTCATGTTGAAGTTGTTTTTTTTTGTTTCGCAAATAGTGCCATTTAAAGTTTAGCTATGATACTAAGCAACAACTATATTATTGTATTGATCTCGGATCGCAGAATGGTACATTACTTAATGGTGTACGTATGTCTAGCTCAAAATCGGAGAGTGATCCTCAAATTGTGAAACATGGAAGTATTATACAAATTGGGTTAACTAAATTATTGTGTCATGTGCATGAAGGAAACACAACTTGCGGCTTGTGTGAACCCGGTCTACTAATGGAAACAGCACAAGAAGCAAGTACAGAAGCAGTAGTTATGCTTACGCATAAAGAACAACTCAGAAAATTGCAGAGAAAATATGGTCTGGAAAATGAAAGTAAGTGTTACGACATTAAATATTAGTATTTAAAGGTAATTATTAACTATTTATTTACTTAATAAATACTTAAGAATTTGTGGATGTGCAAAAAAATGATAGTAGTTATAACGATCGTGCAGCTACACGTCGGACACAAGTTGGTAGTTCTACAGATAATGAAAAGACACAAACTGCATGTGTTAATACGTAAGAAAAATATTCATATTAATTAATGAATTACTCATCACAGTGTCTTATTTACATAGTGAAATATCTAGTGAGAATAAAGGTTTCAAAATGTTAGCAAATATGGGCTGGAATAAAGGCGAAGCGCTAGGTAAAACAAATGCTAGTACTGGACTATTAGAACCGGTAAGAAAGCTTATACCAGGTGTACCGGTATAAAGTGAGCGTAAAGATACAAATGTTCCGACAGGGAACATTTGTTGTAAACGAACCATTTTTTTTTGTTTGTTTACTATGACATGTTGAAATATATTTAGTATACATCAAATCATTGAACAGACAACATCATATTTTTTCATCGTGTTAAAAATGTTGAATTTTGTACCAGAAAGTGATGATTTGCGGAAAGCATTAATTTTTTGTTTTCATTTGAAGAAAAGTGGTGCAGAGTCGCATCGAATGCTTGTCGAGGCATATGGTGATTATGCTCTATCAGAAGCAACATGCAAAAGATGGTTTCAACGGTTCAGAAATAATGATTTTGATGTGAGAAATGAAGAACGTGGAAGACCGCCAAAAAAGTTTGAAGACGCCGAATTGTAAACGATATTGGATGGAGATGACACTTTGGGTCAAAAGCAAATGGCAGAAATGTTAAATGTTGCACAACAAACAATTTCTGACCGTTTAAAAGCTATGGGAAAGATCTAAAAGTGTGGAAAATAAGTGCCACATGAATTGAATGAAAGACAGATGGAAAACCGAAAAAACACTTGTGAAATTTTGCTTCAAAGATACGAAAGAAAATCGGTTTTGCATCGTATTGTTACTGGCGATGAAAAATGGATTTATTTTAAGAATCCTAAACGGAAAAAATCATGGGTTAATCCGGGACAACCATTAATATCGACTGCAAAACCAGATCGATTCGGCAAGAAGACAATGCTGTGTGTTTGGTGGGACCAGAAAGGTGTGGTGTACCACGAGCTCGTAAAACCTGGTGAAACCGTCAATGCTGGTCGCTATGAACAACAAATGATAAATTTGAACTATGCATTGATCGAAAAACGACCAGAATGGGCCAGAAGACACGGCAAGGTAATTCTGCTCCATGACAATGCACCTGCACACAAAGAAAAACGGGTTCAGGATGCAATTAAAACACTTGGCTGGGAGCTGCTACCCCACCCGCTGTATTCACCAGACTTGGCTCCTTCCGATTACCATTTGTTTTCATCGATGGGACACGCATTGGCTGAACAGCACTTTGATTCCTAAGAGGAGGTCGAAAATTGGGTGTCTGGTTGGTTTGCTTTAAAAGACGAACAATTTTTTTTGGTGTGGTATCCACAAATTGCCAGAAAGGTGGTCAAAATGTGTAGAAAGCAATGGCCAATACTTTGAATAAAATGTTTTTTACTTTCCTATTAATTAGTGTTTTATTTTCACCAAAAAACGCTCATTTCATACCGGTACACCTAATATGTGTGATAAGAGAAATATATATTATTAATTCCTTAACAGATAAACGTTGCTTCAAATGAAGGCACAAAGGGATTAGGTTGCAATACAACTATTACAAAGCAACCGACATTCAACATAAAAAAGCTGAGTGCTTTAAAGAAAACTCAAGAACGCTACCAAAAAGCCGATATATTTTATGACAATGAGGATAGTGATTAAAACAAGATAAATTTAGATTTTAACATATTATTATGCATGCAATTATTTATGTTTTTTATGTATAGATAAAAAATTAAACAACAAATTGATACACACATCTATTAGAAATAAATATATTTGTTTTATTGTTCTTAAGTAAAATGTTAATGTTAGTTAATTTTCACATAGAATTTAAATAATCTTTCGAATTTTTGGAGATTTCTTTTTTGTCATTATAATTTAGACTATTTGTTTACATTTAGATTTTCTTTACTAGGTTCTTTACTAGTTGCCTTACTACTTGCTTTACTACCTGCTTTACTACCTGATTTACTACCTGCTTTACTACCTGATTTACTACCAGCTCTACTTGGTGATTTGCTAGACACGTTGACTTCTTCTGCATTGGCTTCGTCAATTGGAAGAAGCAAAGCTTCATCTTCTGGTACTTCTGGAACTTCCTCTTCTCTACCCATGGTTGCCACCGCAGCTATTAATGCTGCACCACGACCAGAACCATCTTCGGATAATACTAAATCGTAAACAATTTTCGGATTTACAAATTTTCTTAATGTCTCACGCATATAACTATCATATCTAGGATGCAATCTGAACAGTGAACCATCAACAGCTACAACAACTCTAGGTTCGTTTATTTTGTTAATTAGTGCACTTATATTAACGGCAACTAATGTAGCTGAACGTCTTGTAACGGATTCACATATGTGCTTAAAATTTAAGCAGTCATCATGTGAAATAAATGTCACTTCAAACAATTCTCTCATTATGGTTTGTATGCTCTTTAATTCCGTTGACAGATCACATTCAATCTGAGATATTCTGTACGTTTCAAAAACATCAGGATCCTTTTCTAAAACATCAACAATTTTATGTTTTTCTTCATTCTCAACTAATATATACGATTCATTGATTGCCCTTACTGTCATATAACCAACGAGCTTGCCCAAATACATACCTTCAAAAACACAAATAAATTTAAATTATAAACATTAATATTATTTTTAAAACTAATACAAAACTTATAATTTATATCTAATAATTTAAAAATTAATATTTATTTATTATATTATTTTATTATATTATTTTATTTTTTTTTATGTTGTACGTTATATGTGTTCTGTAATATTATATTGTTATAAGTTGCTATTAATTTTTTTCTTTGTAATTATAATATAATATTTAATACTATTAATAATTATTATGTGTTCTGTAATATTATATTGCTATAAGTTGCTATTAATTTTTTTCTTCGTAATTATAATATAATATTTAATACTATTAATAATTAATAATATGTGTTCTGTAATATTATATTGTTATAAGTTGTTATTAATTTTTTTCTTTCTAATTATAATATAATATTTAATACACATTGTATTGAAGTGCTTTAACTTGGAGAAGTAATTCCTTGCTTCAAGAACCAATATAAATTGTTGTATAGATGGTATGGGTATTAAGACAGAAGAGTAAAGAAAATGTTCACGTGATAGTGTTAATTAATTAAGCTTAACATTCTTGTTTATGTTTAAGAACTGTGTTTTGTGTTTAGAATAACAAATGAAACTTCATGTAATTCAATGTTGACGTTTGTGAGGTAGTCCTTTTTGTAAAGATTTGATTTTCAAAATACTAAAATGTGCTCTTTCATATATTTAAAGGTATTAAGTCAGAACTCCAGCTATTTAATTTGACTATACTGAAACGAGACATGGATTGGTATCCAGACATTTCATGCACTTTTTAATTTCATAATGTTTAAACCGAAGGGATAATGCTGGTATTATCTTTGGTACGAGTAGCGAACGTCACTTGGTCGTCTGTGTCGCTAATGAAACTATTAATTTCCTTATTTTTCTATGGAGTCTATTTTTCTATGAAGTGACAAAAACTGCTAACTGTACCGACAAATTCACTGGTAAGTACAACATTACTTGATATTGAGTTCTAATATGAATAATAGTTATTCACGTAATATTCATTATACAAAAAAAAAAGGATATACTTAGTTAATTAAATTCATTTTATACAGAAAATCATTCATTACATGCAGATATAAGTTAGTAGCTTATATGTAATAGGTCATAACATTTAACAGAGGTCAGTCTTCTTTTAATAATTTTAATACTAGTTAATCATAATTAATTAGACGCCCCAAAAATATATTAAAATTATTATTCTTAAACACAGATACATTTATATAAACATATATTTATATAAATATTACATGAGTTGTTGCATCATTTTTGTTAAGGTTATAAAATGACCAGTGACCAATATGACTCCATCAGAGATCAGGGAACTGCAATTTCAATTAAAAAATATATTTCATTTAAAATAATTAAAAAAAACAAAATAAATAACGATTTTTGTATATTTGTTTTTGTGAAATTACAACGTTAGCGACTTACGTTAATGAGTGCAGAGCTGATAATTTTTTTTAGAAATAATGCATTTTATTGCTTTGTTTAAGCACTTTTATATTTTTATAGAGAAACAATTTAGAGGTGCATTCGTTTATAATCTTATCACTTTACCGATTATTTAGACGTAGCGCAGTGTTAGAATACATTTAGAATATATCAATAATTGCGATTATATACGTAAAATTATATTTGGTAATGAAGGCTTAAGCGCTATTTGATTAGTATTAAAATACGTAATTATTATGCTTGTGTTTAGTTTTTGAAGTAGTTTGTGATAATATTATATATAATTTATATACATAAAAAAAGCTTAAATATGAGTATTCTTTATGAATAAAATTCTATTACATATTGTTGTGAGTGTATTTCTTATATAGTTTAGATATTAAACAATTATTTTTGAAAATAATTAGTAATTTTATAAATATAAATCAATTTAAAAACTCACCAGGTACCATTTACTCAATAAATATTAATTAATTGAACAACTTATCAGCTACCATTTTCTCTATAAATCTTAATTAATTGAAAAACTTACCAGCTACCATTTTCTCGAAGATTTGTTCTTTCGGATTAGGGCTTGTGTCGTCAACTTGTTTATCGTAATCTGTTCGTATAAATTCTAAATCACCACCTTCACCAAAAGCACCCCATTCAGTGTTTATGATCATGTTTTTCTTTTCTCTGTATTGAGCATCCATTCGTTCAATGCATTTAACATGCTCCAAATAGCAGGCATTGCAGCCAGTACCTACTATGAGCCCAATGCGGCATTGATTATTAAAGTAGGCACAGGATATCAATGTGCCAACCGTATCATTTACAATGGCTACTGGTTCAATATTTAGGGTACCACGTCTATCAATGGCATCTTTTAATAATACAGATATGTCTTCATCTACAACGCCGGCCACTTGAAAGCCTTTCGTCCATCGCCTCAATATTGCTTGAGTTAGGTTTATTTGGGTGCAAGGAAATGAGAAAGTAAAACCTAGGTATAATTTATCATCCTCTATATTATGTAACTTCACAAAATTTTCCAAACATGAAGCGATGTAATCAAATAGCTCTTCTGCCGTCCCAATCATAAGGTCACTATGTATTGGATATGTTACTGATACTTGCTCTGAATCGTAGTTGCCTTTTAATGTGACTAATAGTACTCTAAAATTTGAGCCTCCCAAATCTAATGCTAAATAATTACCGACTTCCTGACCCGTTGGCAAATCTTGTACAAAGGTTACGTAACATTTTGTATCCGCTGTTGCATGACTATGTTTCCCAAGACCACTTCGAATTTGATTGCAGAAACGTTTGTAAATTTCGTGTACTTGGGGAAAGGTTAAAGACATACTTGATGTGAATTCCCTTATCTTTAAGTCAGTCATAGCGAATTTGTTTTTTTTATTGCCCGGAGTAACACACTAAATTTTCATTGGGAGGTCTGACGTAAGGTGTTTTAAGATATACTGTAAAATTGCCAAAATCTACAACTTCATATTTAAAAAATATATAATTTCATTTGATTTTTTTATTCTGATTATTAGAATAACCGATTTTTATAAGGTTGCTTTGTGTTAAATAAAATATAATAAGTAGTTGTATGTAGAGAAAATCTTTAGTTCTTTTTCCTGAGCGGTATATGTAAAATTTATTCAACAAGTGGATATCCATTATTCAAATATATATTTAGAGATATATCTAGATATACTACTATAGATAATATATCTAGATTTCTACTTCTTATTATTAGGACACAGGACGTTTCTATATAGAATAAGTAGTATATGATAAAACTTATAGATTGAAACAATAATTAAATTTAATTTAACATCAGTTATAACAACAGCGACTTTTTTACTTAATAGAAACTATTGTATCTAATAAAGAGGTTTGGAACAGTAAAGAAGTCAATTTTGAAGCTCAGAGTCAGTGTTCATTAGTCAATTGACTCAAAACAGTACTTGACTTGTATGTTCGAACTTTGGAGTTTTGTTAATTTGCTGTGAAAGTTCATTAACAAATTCTCTTGCTGTGATATATAAAAACAAAATCATAAACCAGCTGTAGAATAATTGAATTAGTTAATTACAGATATTTTTATCTATAATTATATTTTTGTAAAATTTCAAAATAAATTAACAAGTAGCAGATTAACAAAACTCAAAGTTCAAACAGACAATTCAGTCACGGTTTTGGGTCAGTTCGTTAATTAATACCGATTATGAGTTTCAAATTTGGCGAAGTACGAGTTTAATTCTTGGTACTTGCATTATTTACAATTAATTAAATATTAGAAATAATTCGAAAAGACCACTGATGTAAAGTACTTGGCAATACTCAAAACAGCTGTATGGTCCGTCAAAAATTCAATTAATTAAAAATAATAAAATTATGTTGTTGCTATTTAATACTGTTGGAAACCTCTCTATAAAAAAGTAATGTTATTAAAAATCTCAAATATGGAACCCAAATTACCTTTTGCTCAAAAACTACTCAGATTTTGTAAATAAAACACAAATTTAAATTTTATTCCAAATTTATTTTAGCTCCTTCAAAATATGCTTCTTTTGAAGCGATACACATATGCCAACGCTTAACCCAATCTTCCATACACTTTTTTTAGGCCCGTGAAGGTTGGCTTTTAGTTCCTTCATCGAATTCTCTTTTACCGATTCAATTGACTCAAAACGCTTACCACGAATTGGCAATTTGAGTTTTGGGAACAGGAAAAAGTCGAACGGATTCAGATCTGGCGAATATGGTGTCTGAGCGATGACGGTGGTAGCGTGTTTGGTCAAAACATCGCGTACAATAAGAATTTTCCATAGTAAAAATCGCTAAATGCACTTGAGGTAGGCTCACATTAACAGCTGCTGTAAACAAACTAATTGACAGATGGTGTTCAAATTTGTACCATATGTCAAAAAAGGGTGTACCAACTAAACAAAAAAAAAAATCCGGATACTTTTTGAGCAGAAGGTACATGCTGAATTGAATTGAAAGTCTTAGAATCTTTGGTTAAAATTAATCTGGATTGCAATTTTCTTTTCGATTATAAAAGAAATCATTAATGAATAGTATTTTTCAATTTCTAATTCTCATGATAGAGTCCCTATTTTAAAATTCACTTCATAACACTATAGCACTTGTGCCTACTCGCTGAAGTTTGTAACGATACCACGAATATCATGGATTACCAAATATATAGTATATAGATAATTTAATTTTTATACAGTAAACAGAATTCCTCCAGTTAATTAGGGTTCGTAAATAACAAGTTGTTACCACTTCAGTTTAATATAATAAACCACGAGTAGGTAGATTCGTAGAGTCTGTTAACATCATGCAGTTATAGCCGTAAATTTTTTTCTCATTAATCTATATTATATTATAGGTTATATATTATATTATAGGTTATATATTATATTATAGGTTATATATTATATCATAGGTTATATATTATATTATAGGTTATATGTTATATTATAGGTTATATATTATATTACAGGTTATATGTTATATTATAGGTTATATATTATATTATAGGTTGTATATAATATTATATATTAACTGATATTTTGCCTTTGTAAACATACCAATTCATAGTAATTGAAACTCTTTCTGTTCTCACTGAAGGAGAAATGGAATAATTATTGTTTCATCTCACTTACCTATTCGTTATACTTCTCATAATTCTAACCCAGAACTAAGTTCGAATATAGTTGGAGTCAGCAAAAACTTAATAATTTGAATTATAAATTTAAATTTATTATTCCATATTAATAAGTCGTAAATTGAATAAATTGAATTATTTATTTTTTTTTATCTTTATTTATATAATAAGTTACATTCACATTTAGATAATATATTTTTAATAATTATTAAAAATTTCTAATATAAGACACATATTTTAACAAATAGAAATTAATATATTCAAATACATGTATATGTATATCTAAAAAGTATATATAGATAAATAAATACATTATAAACGGTTTTTAAACTAAATTGAACAGCTAAACTATCAGTCATTTTTAAGCATTTAATAATGATATATTTTTATTTATAAATCAATAAAAAGAAAACGAATTTAAAATATTTAATTAAAAAGAAATAAATAACTAAATTATATTATTATCATTTTTTTTGTTGCATGTCATATTTATAGCAAAACAAATTTATGATATAAGTAAAATTAAAAAGATTAAAAATGTTTATATATAATAAATGAAGAGCCTCTTAGGATATGTTATATATTATATGGTTTAAGTTTGAAGAAAATTTACATATTTAACGATTTACAATACCTATAATTATAACTAAATAAATTAATACGCAAATATACATAAATATATATATATATGTATATATATAAAAAAAATAAATTAAATTGAAAAGAAATATTTAAAGAAGTGTAAAATATTTCAAATATTCAATTGACTAACTTACGATTAAATAACATTTTTACTACATGTATATTATTCTTTTATTTATATTATTTAATGTATTAGTTTTATATTTAAAATTAAAATGAATAAATTTAAAGTGAAATGAATATAAATCATAATGAATATAAATCATTTCAATTTTATTTAATCAATAATACAACTTAATTTGAAATTATGCACAGTTGATTTATATATTCATTTAAAATAAATTATATTAGAAATTTAATCATTCTTTGGAAAATTATTTTAAAAAAAAATATATTAATTATTACATATGATTAATTTATATCATTTTTTCATTTTTACCATAAATTTCTTATTTAACTGTATTATTTTAATTTAACAGAAAATGTTTTTAATTTTTATATACTGCATATATGTTTAGTTTATTGATTAAAATTTAAATAAATTATTTTCTTCCAGTTTTTTGAATACTGAACATAAACGAATGGTTTCCGAGTATTTAAATAGGAAATAGAGCAGACATTTGTTATAAAACAAAAATATTAAATATATACTAATTATCAAAGTACTGCGTTACTTTCGTTCTAACAGGTAATTGTTCATACTTTTCTGCTTATTTTTTTATTTTTATAATTTTAAATTATTAATCAAAAAAATTTTTTTTTTTAAGATTATATATCAACTTTTTTAAAAAAAAGTATTGATTAAACAATTGTAAAATACTAGTTATGATTTGAGTTGTGAGTTCTTGAGTGGATAATTATCAATCGGTAGGAGTGTGTTCTAAGATGATCTGAAAAATCATAAATAATAAACTGACTAATTATATATTATACTGAGACAAGATTTTGATGATATAGTGGATTTTGATGATATATATAAACCTATTCAAGCTATTAATCTTAAGTGGTGGAAATATGCAGGTAATTTCAGAATTTATTATTTTTAAGCCTTAATTAACTTTAAATAAATTAATACAAATAAACTAAAATTTAAAAGTGTATATAAAAAATAAAACTTTAACAAAAGTAAAAAATGAGACTATAATAAGATATAAAAATATGTTTCAAATTGTATATCTTTCGCTAAATTGCTAAAAAAAATTGATATTTTTAAAATAATAATAAAAAATAAAAAATAACATATAAAAAATTAGAGAAATGAATAAGTGAATAAAAATAATTATATAAAAAAAATTTAAAAAAAATAAATAAATATCAATAATAAAAAATAAATAAATATTAATAAAAAAAAAATAAATATTAATAAAAAAAAAATAAATAAATATTAATGATAAAAAATAAATAAATATTAATAATTAAAAATAAATAAATATTAATAATAAAAAATAAATAAATATTAATAATAAAAAATAAATAAATATTAATAATAAAAAATAAATAATAATAATTAAAAATTAATAATAAAAAATAAATAAAGATTAATAATAAAAAATAAATAAATATTAATAATAAAAAATAAATAAATATTAATAATAAAAAATAAATAAATATTAATTATAAAAAAAAATATATATATATATCAAAATGTTAAAAAAAAGTATTAAGAAAATGTTTTTAGATTCAGGCATTTTTTAATAGAATAGACAAAATTAGCCTTTTAAATTATTCCAATTCGAAGTATGAAAGAATAAAATAACATCTTTGATATTAACTAAATTAATTATTATTATTATAATTAGATAAACTTGAACTTATATGTATTTGCAAAAAAAAAAAACAGTATACATTATATAAAATACAATTAAATAATTTCTTTAATAAGTAAAATAAAAGGCTTAAATAAATAAGTTAAATTATGTATAATACGTTTGCACATAGAGCTAGACAAAAAGAGAGTTATAAAAACCTAACAGAAACTTAAAAGCATATAGCGCCTAAGATTAATTGAAATATTATTTGGGATAGAAGAAGAAAAAATAAATTAATTACATACGAATATTAGAAGAAGAATAATTTCAAATTAATAAATAGAAATAAAAAAGTATTTAAAAAAAGTTATAAAAGAACAAAAAAAAAAATTTAGAAGAATGTATGAATTAAATATAGATAGTTTAGAATAACGGTTGCAAAATAGAAAATGAGATGAAAACTTACAAGTAGAAAGGCAGAAATATAGGTAACACAAATTAATCACATAAGGATAAAAGTAAAGGATAAAATATCAAAGAAATAAATAGAAATAATGGGAAGGAAAAAATTGAAAGACTAACAAAAATGTGAAATAGAGCTTAAACAAAAATAGACTAAATAACATAAGAGAAAATGGGGGATAGCATACAGGGATAAAGACAGAAATATAATTAGAGATAGAAAAAGAAGAGTTCTTGAGACAGAAGTAGAAGAGTGCTTGAAATAAGTCAAATAAGAATAGAAGAAAAGGAGAAAATTGTGATAAAGAAGAAATAGTAAGAGTAAGAAGAATGTAAGAAAAATATAAGAAGAATGTAAGAGATATAGACAGCATATAATAAGTAAAAGAAAACAAGAGCAAAAAATTCTATCTATCTGAGTGTAAAGTGCATTTTTAAAAAAGATTTCCTCTTTGAATTTGTTTTTAAATATTATTATATTTCTATAGATCTATATTTGATAATTTCGTAATTAATTGATTTTTGTATCAGTGTAGTCAATTTAAAAAAAAATTTCCTTAAACAAAATATCAATAATCGATTTCAGATTTATTTGATTAGAGATGTCTCAAATAAGTAATATTTTTTATCCTCTCTGTATGCAATTTAATATAAAAGCCTAATAATAACTAGTAACTTACAATTGTTCGCGATCATGCATTTTTAATTATAAAATTATTTAAAAAAATTTGTTTAATACAAAAGACTTCACAAAGAAAAAAATGGAACTAAATGCAAATGAAACTAAATAAATAACAAATGCAGTGGCTTCGGATTAATAAATATCTAATTAACTTTAGATAATCAATATGTAATTTATTAGTAAACCTCTAAAAATTTCCTATTTTAAAATTTTACTGGCATATAACTCTGTATGTTTGTTTATAAACTGTGTATATTTCAACGGAATGAGTGCTATATATAATATATAGTATATATATATAAATATATATAAGTATATGTATTAAGTAAATTCCTCTATATTAATATAATAACTAATATTTTTCTAACCAACATCAATAATCTATTTAATATAATTCGTGCTAATATAAATTATGCTAATCTCATTTATGTGATATATTCATTATTTGCATTCACCAGGCGATTTTACGTCAATAAAAAATCCTGTAGCACATGAATCTTTTTGCATTTCACACCATGAAAAATAGGTTCTATTATTGACGCCACAGATTTTGCCATTATCATAGGGATGATGCTGAAATATAGTCAAAATTTAATATAATATAATTATTTACTAAGTTTAATAATAATATATTAAAGTTATTTGTATTATAGATTAGATTTATCCCATGTCATAAAAAAAAATTATTCGAAATATTAGTTCCGTAGATGTGATTTACCGACGGCATATTATTTATATATTTTTTTATATAGTATTAAATAAATAATACATTAAGAGTATATATCTTGTATATATACGTTTAACTAAGTAAAACGCTTTAGTGCTCCCTCTAAAATAATTTTCCGCTAGATTTAGGCGTTTATTTTTACCCCACGGTCGATGAGCACGAGAGGAGAGCGACCATGGGCCGTTATGGCTACCCACTCCATCTTTATCGGTGGCGCCTGTTTTCTGGTGGCTATTTGTGTGTTTAAATGTTCAGTTTACCTTTATGACGAGTTAACTCGTTGTTGTTGTTGTTGTAACCCGCCGGGATCTGCTTGTACTTAGTCGTCGTAGGTGACGAGTAGGTCCGGAACGAAGACCCATTCGTTCTTGGAACCAGGAACTCGATCTTTTAGCTTGCTTATATACTGCTCAATTACGAATGATGACTCATCAGAAAAAACTAAATTCGGCAACCCACGACTTTCTGTCAAACGAACCAACACTTTGGCTCTTTGGACTCTAACTTTTTTTGATCATCGGTGAGATCATGCATTTTGTTCAACATCAATGGCTTTAGTCCGAGTTCATTGTTTAAAATATGTTGTATCCTTTTTCGTGATGTATTCAATTTCTTTGCCATTTGATTGCACCTACGGCGTGGGTTTCGTTCAATTTGCTTCTTCACTTTACGAATAATTTCTGTAATTGTTACTTATTTTTTGTCCACTTTCCGGACATCGAGTAACGCCACCAATATCATGATATCAGCTATGGTACGAGACACAAAGAATTTGTTCACATTTAGATGTTGGAGGGCTCGAACGATAGCCACTTGTGTTTTTCTATTTCAGTGATTTCTGTCATTATTGGTTTCACAGCTAGAATCAGTATATTTATATATACGAGGTTTATACTCTTTATACATACCAAAGGTAAATCATAGGGTTTTTTAAAGAGGGTCAAGAACATTTGTCGAAAATCAAATCGATACTATCCTTTTTCTGAAGCTATTCACGTTATACATAACATAAATTTGGTAATTTGTCAATTTCCTCAACTTCATACTATAACCTAACCTAACTTATCCTTCGAGTATATTTTAAGTCCTTTAAATTCCTACATGGAATGTAAGCAATAATTATTCTTTTTTATTTAATTGTTAAATTGTACTGCAGCTTTTTCCCTTAAGTCGTAGCATTTAGTTTCTTCTAAGTGTTTTGTGATTGGCTGTTATTATATTCTACAGTTTTTTTAAACTTATCCTCTGTAGGGTTGCATAGAATGTAATCAAATCGTTTGTATTTTCATGTCACTATTTCTTTGATAGATGGTTGGTGTATAGTTCGGTATTAGGAATTTCGTTTGGCCATTTGCATTTTGTGAATTCCCTTTTCTTTTGCTCGCAAAATTTTCGAATAATTTCACTGCGAATAATATTCGCAAATCCGGATATTCGAAGACTCCGGATTCACAACTTTTTTCGGATTTATTTTACAACTCCGAAGATTTCGTTGTTATCCGATTAATTGAATAAATTCGGTTTTTAAAATTTCCGAATAATACGAACAGCACTATTATATAGTGTTCCATTATATTACTACTAGTATAGAGATAAAAGCCCTAATTTTTATTTACCCTGTTATATAGTGTCCCATTATATTACTACTAGTGTAGACATAAAAGCCTACATCCTGTTGTATGGTGTCCCATTAGTATAGAGATAAAAACCTTATTTTTTGTTTATCCTGGTATATAGTTTCCTATAATATTACCACTAGTATAGAGTTAAAAGCTGTGCTTTCTATTTATCCTATTGTATAGTGTCCCATTATACGAGGGTGGTTTGAAAAGTCAGTGACTTTTTGAATAAAAAAATTTTTTTCCTCAAATAAACATTTTATTTTTCTACATAATCACCTTTTAGCTCGATACATTTAGTTCAACGTTTTTCTAATTTTTTTATTCCCTCCAAATAATAGGTTTTCTCAAAGCTCTCAAAATACGCGTTTGTTTTGGTAATGACTTTTTCATTTGACTCTAATCTCTTACCGCTCAACCATTTCTTTAGGTTTGGAAACAGAAAATAGTCGCAAGGGGCTAAATCTGGAAAATATGCTGGATGGGGTAGCAGTTCGTATCCCAATTTGTGGATTTGGGATCGTAATGCTTAATCAGCACACGAAATTCACTTTTTTCCATTTTCGTAAAAATTCACGAGGTTGTCTGCTTTGAACGGTTATCAAACACCAACTGAACGACGTAGCTTGCTCAATATTACAAAATTGCCCACTGGTATATTACAGCTGACGGCTGCACTGTTGCATTTGGAGTAACTGCGCGGGAAACTCAAAAAGTCACTGACTTATCAAACCGCCATCTTATTATTACTAGTATAGACACAAAAACTCTACTTCTGCAGT